AGGCCGGCCTGTGCCCGGAGCGCGGTTGGGAAAGCGGGGCCCCGCGGGGCGGACAGCTTCCTGAGCTTCGGGGCAGCTGCTCGGGCAGATCTGCGAGTTTGTCATGGTCACAGGCACGTTTGTAAAGACTAACCTCAAAACGTCTGTTTGTTCATAGGAAATAAACGGGCTCTGATGCAAGGAAAACGATGAAATTTGGTTGCCTCTCCTTCCGACAACCCTATGCAGGATTAGTTTTAAACAACGTCAAAACAGTGGAGACTCGCTGGCGTCCTTTGCTAGCAGGCTACAAGAACTGCACCATTGCTATTCATATAGCTGTTAAGGACTGGCAAGACGACACATGGAGAGCAATTCTTTTGAATAGGTTCGGTATGACGCCCAACCAAGTGCAAGACTTGTTGGATAAAGGGGAAAAATTTGGCAGAGGAGTTATTGCAGGTAAGCAACCTTGGATTATATTTTCCAAGCAAGCTTTCAATCCATTAACTTACTTCAGTCCAATACACATCTGCTTCACACAGTGATGCTCATTGTAACATTGCTTTAACACTTACTTTGGAGGAGCGGTGCCTGAGGTGTGACTGGGGGCCTGTTTGGATTCCTTATCACTGTAAGCTGAGGTCCTTGAGGGAAGTTGTAAATAACATTTATTCTTTTTCATTTTGTTGGAAATGTGAAGTATCTTTGACCTTTAGGATAAAGAATTTTAGTCAGGCCTCAGTTTTTAGAACACACTCACTCTACTAAAATCTTTAGCCTACAACTCTAAAGCCTGTACAGGAAATGAAATTGATTTGTGCTAACTTGTCATGCAGGAAGGCAGTATAACGTGGATTGCATATTATTTTGTTGCATGATAATAAATGTCAATTCCACACTTCTTGCATTTTGAGCTTAGGAGCTCTTGCTGAAACCTTTTTATAGTACTCATAGTCAGGTGAAGTCATGACGTTGCAGTGCTTTGCATGTCACGTTACAGTATTAAATAAATAAATCCTATTTCAGTGCTACAAATGCTCCATCGCTCTTGTTATTTGGGCAGCGAAGACGTTTGTTTCAGTAACACAAAGTTAGGATGGAGTGGTGTTTCTTTCCTTATATTGTGCTGAAATACAGTGTATGTTGCTGCACTGTATATTTACAAAGTTTTTATCCAGCACTCATTTTGCACTCTTTTCTTGTAGGTATCTTTTGTTACAGCATCTATCTTGCATTCTCATCTATTTTTAGCTATTCCTGCACAACAAATTACTTCTATCACATATATTGAAAAATTGTTCTGGTTCTACAGTGCTGAAAATTGTTAGGTACTATGTAATATGCAGATTTGTAACCTTGACATAAATTGCACGCTAAATTGTGGAGTAGGTATCAGAGTTTCTTTCATCTTGATTTTAACGTTTTTAATCATTAAGCAATATAGAAATTCCTTTTTGTGACATTAAAAGGGTTCCAGAGAGCAGGAATTTCCATATAGTTTGATGATTTTACAATGTTAGTAGAATAGTGTCCTGATAGCAGTAGAGAGAGTTTTCTTTTCAATGAAGCTGTTTCAAGGCCAAATGTAGCTCAGGAGTTTTGGTAGCAGCTGTATCTCCTTAGATGCAGGCTTCTTTTAACAGAATTCTCTGTCACTGAGTTGTGAATATTATAATTGCATGCTTCACCTGTTCTTCACCGGCCTAAGTTCAGTCACACAGGCCGTCTTCTGCAGTGAATGACTCTGGTTTGAGATGTGCGTGCTTCATACTGTGTTCTTCTGGTAACAAATGAGCTGTTTTGTATGTCCTCTGGGAGGGTTACTTTTGGAAGACTTCTCTAGGAGATCAAACAACCAAATAATTTTGTATTTTAATTTTATAATACAGGATTAATTGACATTGGAGAGACTTCGCTATATCCAGAAAACTTGCCTGCTGAAAAGATTCTGGAGCTGGAAAACAAAGCTGTCCTCACTAATCTAGAACAGAAATACTTGACTGTTGTTTCAAATCCAAGATGGCTCCTGGAACCGATTCCTGCCAGAGGGAGAACAGGTGTGTGGCAGGTGGACATCCCCGAAGAACTGATCCCTTCAGAAGCGTAGGTGTTGGCCCTCACTATTATTTTTCCTGCCTAAATGCAAACTTGCAATTCACAAGTCAGCACCTTGAGTATTAGTGGGTTGTTAGGGATTCCCTTCCAAAACTAATCGTTTGAAATAGCAAATACATTTGAAGAACTGCTCTTTAGAGGCAAAATAAAAAAGATGTAATTTTTATGGCCATTGCTGGAAATTATTGACGGTTTACTAGATTTTTCCTATATAAATAACTCTAAGTAAATGCAATTTTTTTAAAGATGTGGTTGATGTATTGTGTGCCAGTTTAAAACGTGAGTAAATACAACCATATTATATGATGCATGCATCTCTGATTATGAGGAAGAAAGAGTTTGTAGGACCCTTCCGAAAAATGGTGCTTGAAAGCAGGCTGCCATCATTAATATGACATCTGTCTCACAGCCCACTCCTAACCTTACGTTTGTGGGATCATTGAGAGAGAAAGCATCTGAGATAAGGCCAGTCCTAGGGGCTACTCAGAGGCAGAGATTTGCTGGACGAGGTTTCTGCGCATGGTGTGTGTTATGTGCTGTAAGTGTAAAACTTCCAGAAAGGACCAGATTTTCCTCATTCACAGGTTGGGTACATTAGATGTGCATATGATGGAGGGGGGAGCAGTCTGCAGTATACGGCTCTGTGACCTGACAGCCTTTGTAGAAAGGCCTTTATTGGAAAGAAGGTGCTTGTACAAAGTTAAATGAAGTGTGTATTATAATACTTCTTTCTCTCATTTAAGAGGAAAAATAGTAATAAGCTTTGAAAAATCTAATATTGAAGTAAGTGTGAGGAGTGACAAATAGAAGTCACTAACTTTGGCACTTTTAGACCTTTTCAAAATTCACACCCTGCATTACAATGAAAATCCTTTTGACTTTCTGGAGCAAGGACCAAGGCCAGGCATAGGCATGGCTGTAAAAACAGGACAGGACAACTGGCAGAGGCTTTGCATTCAGATAGTTTATTGGAACACTTAGGAGAGACTATTCCCTTAGACTATGCAACTTCTAAAGGAGCTGTGGAAGGTACCTAGCATGCCCTGGGCTGGGGTCTGAGGCCATTGCCTGCAGGTCTGCTATTTGGACCACAAATGCAAGTCGGGCAGTGCTGGTATCGTGGAGTTTGGCCCTGAGGTGGCCTTGGCATAGACAGAGCAGCGGCTGCTGCCAGCACAGCTGGAGACGTGAGAGGCACCAGCCCTGGTGGAAAATGGCTGTTGGGCACGGCTGGCACAGCATGACCTGGTGCAGCAGCAGCAGAAGCAGCACCCTGGATGCCAGCCGGGCCAGGCGTGCTGTGCTGCAGCAAAAAGGAGGGGGCCAGGGGACTGAGCTTCTCCCTGCCTACTGCTGCCGCAGGGTCTGAATTTGTCAGAGCAGCGGTGCGTGCAGATGTAGGGGCACGTCTGACTCGGATAGCTGCCTTGCACATCGGGTGGCAGGTGTGGTCTTCCTGGGTGCAGAGGTGTGCATGTTCTCCCTTCCACCTGCTGTGAATGGACCACTGTCCTCCTCAGAAGTGGTTTCCCACACAAGCTCAACATCTGGTTTTCTTCTCTGGCAGCGTGCATGCAAATCCATGTCCAGTGAAAATCCTGCTGGTATTTGAGTTTTTGGACCAAAGCTTTGCTTATACTTCATTAACAGATGCAGAAAATGTCTTCTAAAATTTGGGTTGTAGTAGAAGTGAAACTAAAAAATGCAAAGGAAAAGAGTTAGTTGCCACCACCTTAAGACTGGAAACCACAAAGATATGAGAACTAAGGATTTTAATTGCAAAAGAGAAATGTTAAAAAGGACTATCAGGGGCATTCTAAACCTGAAGTTTACACCGAATAAAATGGTGCAGTACAGTCCTGTTAAGTAGTAACCAGTCTTGTGGTTTTGCTGCTTGGTAGCATAGAAGCATAAGATTTTCAAAAGCATACAAACTGATTCAGAAACCCAAATACCACTATTTTTCAGCAACTTTAGCATGGAAGGAACATGTAGGTAACTATATGATGCTGACATGTACCTTCTCAGCCTTCAGCAAATGCCACAAGAAAACTGCACATCTAGTACAGCAAGACACATAGCAAATACCAAAACAAAAATCCCAATACAGTGAGAGTATCTTTTCATTTTATGTGTTCAAAGTAATTGGAAATAACCAACATATATTTTACCAGCATTTCCACTACTCAGAAATGCTACCTCAAAAACTCCTGCACATGAGAAACAAATGACAATCAGAACTTTTACTACCATCCTCATCTCCTATGTAGTAAAAGCTTATTTCATTGGAACAGAAATCTGTCCCACTGGAATATTCTGAGAGTTAGTTTGCATGTAGAGGATCCAACATACCTCCCTAGTTGTTTCTTCTGCCAGCAAGTCATTGTGCGAGCCCAATTTTAGAAAATCCCACAGCTTTCTGGTGAATCCGTACGGATGGAGGTGATGAGTGAAGCTTTTACCACTATTTTTCAGCAACTTTAGCATGGAAGGAACATGTAGGTAACTATATGATGCTGACATGTACCTTCTCAGCCTTCAGCAAATGCCACAAGAAAACTGCACATCTAGTACAGCAAGACACATAGCAAATACCAAAACAAAAATCCCAATACAGTGAGAGTATCTTTTCATTTTATGTGTTCAAAGTAATTGGAAATAACCAACATATATTTTACCAGCATTTCCACTACTCAGAAATGCTACCTCAAAAACTCCTGCACATGAGAAACAAATGACAATCAGAACTTTTACTACCATCCTCATCTCCTATGTAGTAAAAGCTTATTTCATTGGAACAGAAATCTGTCCCACTGGAATATTCTGAGAGTTAGTTTGCATGTAGAGGATCCAACATACCTCCCTAGTTGTTTCTTCTGCCAGCAAGTCATTGTGCGAGCCCAATTTTAGAAAATCCCACAGCTTTCTGGTGAATCCGTACGGATGGAGGTGATGAGTGAAGCTTTTCATGCTCTCACTTTCAAAAATTCTCAGACATCCTCTCCTCTCTAGTACTTCCTCGTCAAACAATTCTTCATGAATCACTACACGCTTTCCGTTGTCACCCCACCAAATGGACTCAAACTGATCGCTTTGAACAACATCCCAGAGCTTCTCCAGAAAGCCCAGGCATGTAGAGGCATCGCCTTCGCTAGAGCTCTCCTCAGATGAATTTAGACGCTCTCTTTTTGACCAGAGCTGCTTAGCTGAAGTTTGTAAAGACCTTTCTTCTATTGGAGGTCCAAAGGCAGCATCACTAGCTGCTCTTTTGTCACATGCTGGACAGAGAGAAGTCGAGCCTGATGAATGAACTCCCTTGACCAGAACAGAATCACATGAAGTTTCCAGTGAGGAAAGCTCCATTTTGACTTCTTTTTTCTCAGTTCGAGTAAATTTTTCAGCTGAACCCTAGCAGTTAGGCTGTCTGGCTGAAAGGAAGTGACAAACTGACTGAGAATCCCAAGGGAAAATTCTCAAACATCACTGACACCCATGCTGCGTTGCCATGCAGCGTCCGTTTCCTAGCGACATGAAACAGCAGCAGCAGCAAGAGCTAAACAGCACTTGTTGCTTTTCCTTTACAGTTTGGGTGTGGGGTTTTTTTTTTTCCTTTACAGTTTGGGTGTTTTTTTTTTTCAAGAGCCAAAAAGTAAATGAAATTCCAATGAAACTAGTAGCTGGTCCACAGGGAGGAAGAGGGAGATCTGCAGTGTTAGGAATGAAAGCGCCACATCTCCGAAGTTTTTCAGGTGCGCACTTTTCACACATGCAGAAATGTCCATACACTCTTTGCTCTTATCTCATTGCTATGCTAACACTGAGGAAACATGATCCGTGGTATTTAAGCTACCTAAACCATAGGTTCACCTAAACACAAAGAGCAGCTGCAAGGATGTGGAAGTATCTGACATCTGTTGTTACAAGCTACTGGAGTACAGGTTTCAAAGACTAAATTTCTCTGAAGCACCTGGAAGTCCAAGACAGTCTGTCAAAGGAGATCTTTTTTCAAACAAGAAAATGCTATGCCAACACCAATGAGTTCCTATCTTGAAAAGTTTAATCATTTACACCAACACTCTTACAAAGTTGGTAATGAAGACCAAGCTACCATATTTATACCAGCTAACCGACAGTTGTAAAACCTACAACTAACGTTTCTGGCATAGACTGCATGCACAATGCAAGAGGGAACAGCTTATTAAACAGCCAGTCTAATGGGAGAATGGTGTACATGCTGCTCAAGAAGAATTAAAACATGAAACTGGAAAAGCAACAAAAGCAACACTTAACTCCCAAGCCAGTGCAGAAGTTGAAATACTTACATGAAAATTTACATAGATAAGTCAAAAACATCATGTAAGTTGCTATACATTCTATTTCCCCCCAAAAAAGCTTTCCAGTCTTGCCTGAGAAGTGCAACACTCCTGTGCCTCTGCATTTAAGACAATGATTGTGGCTGAACAGAAAAAGTAGTAAAGAGGTGATACACTAAGACATCTCCAAAGCATTTAAAACAGACATAGAAATCAAGTGTATATTTAGGACCTAAATGACACCTGGAATAGCATAGGCATTTCATACAGGGTTTTTAAAAAAATACTTTTAGATAATACTTATACTGTACACAACAAGACTTTTAAACAATATATTACACTGCTAAAATGTTCATATAAATACTGTACAGGCAAGTGTGCAACCAACCCATTAGGAAGGTTCACAAATTAGACCACCACGTATCTCTGGAAAAGCTCTCAGATTATCTTCAAGATCTGGTTTTTGTAATCCAAGCCACTGATTCAGCAATATCTATTTTAACGTAATTCGGACAAGGCATGAGATGAAATACATTTGTCTGCTGATTCCCAGTTCAAGTTTAATATGCTACTGTCATCTTAATCTGGCATATCAATGTTTAATTTGGGAGGTGGAATCACGTATTTTCCAGGACTCTGTGTAATGACCACTCCAGTCTTTTTTCGAAACATTGGTGCAATTTTTGGTGGTTCAGGCAGTGGTG